GCATATGTTTGCAACTGCCTGTTTCTAGTTTACAAACACATTGCTGCTACTGTGACTGCCTCTAGAGAGGACACATTACATGCATGGACAATAGGCTTGCTACTAACAAATAGCTAGGCTATTTAAAAAATTGTATTGTTATGAGAGTTTGCTTTATAAATGTTGGTCATTTGTAATATTACTTTTGTAGTAAAGATGATCCTACACAATTTCTCAGGCTAGTTAAAATCAGTATACCCATTAAGATTAACACTCTTCTTAAGAAACAAATCCTCCAATACACAAATTTGAACAACAAAAGCGCCTACAATTATATTTCAAACTACAAAACTTTACTTTAATATATAAACTACAACATAGGCATGCTATGGTGGGGAAACATTCAGTCAGTCTTTAAACAAAAGGAGGTCTTAAAAGGTATGACACTTTTATAGGAAAGAGACTTGAAAATTAAGAATATAGCCTACAAAGTCTTTGATAATAACTAGGTATAGCTCTCTAAACTCTTCTGTACAAATTTGAAATAACTGGGTATGATTAAAAACCAATAAGATAAATAGAACCAAAACCAACCTAATAAGAGTTTGGTAACGAAAAAGAAGTTAACCCTTAAAAAAATCAATTTAAAGCTGCAACAATTTAAACCGTTCTTTCATTACTTTTAACTATTTACATAAGACGAAGTATTTACAACTAAAGGTACATTACTCAAACTCTTTAGAATATGAAATTTTTTTTAGAATTGTAATTTGAAAGTTATTGCTGTGTATAACAAGAAAACATTTACTCAGGTTAATCTGTTAATTATGCCTACATTGCTAACATTGCTTTCATTTTCTTTAATACCAGCCTAGTTTTGAAACCTTTATACTTAATACAGAAAGGGTTTCCTCTGTAACAACTCTTTTAACTACATAATCAAATCTTACGATTTAAAAGTCATTTTAGAGTTTATGAACACTAGCGCAATTAGTAAACTATAATATGCATCGGCGCAAACATTATTTGCAGCTGATCAGAAATATTTTGCAACTTTATTGAACAGGTTTTCTATTATACCACTCACTAATTTTACCATGATTTAATTTTTTTAAACAACTCATTTTTGTGTATTTCATGAAAATAAGAATAACAGTACATTATCTAATCGGTAGTATTATTGCAGGAATGGAACCAAAAAGGTAATTTCCTTTAAGGTAGGGATGGATGGGTCTCGAAATTTCGGGAAATTTTAAATCTTGTTCTACGAGAAGAGATTTTAAAATTTTTTAAGTTTAACAATTTTAAATTTAAAAACATTTTTAATTAAAAAAATGGATAAAAACTGCAAAGGCGTTTTTATTTAATTATTAATTCTTTAAATGGAAATATTCCTTCAATTGTTTAGTAATTTTTTTGACATAGATAATGATGAGAAGTTTTGTTAGTGTAAGCAGTGTGAGACATGTTTTACTACTGTAAACATAGTCAAAATAAGTCACTCCAATATCATTCTAAAAATAACACAAGAAAAATTGTTACTTGATACTTAACTAGTTGTTAACTGATAGTTAACTGTTGTTTTAGACTTGTAAATTTGATATTTTTCAAAGTTGAACTATATAGTAACTGATATCTCTGTTTCCTTTGCCGAAGAGTTATTTTTAATAAGTTAGGCCGTATTAATATTTTTTTTTACTGATGTTTTTAGTAATTTTTTTTTTTTATATGTTTGTGTATAATTATTATTTTATTTATTTAACAAGTCTGTCATAAATCAGTAGGTATTTAAAAATATTTAAAAAATCTGGTTAAAATGTGGAACGTGCATTTCCCGTTATGTATGAGAAGGGAAATCCCGTCTCAAAAGTTTTATGAGAAATAAAAAATCCCGTCTCGTCTCGAACTAAAAATCCACTGTCGTCCATCCCTACTTAAAGGCTTTACCCACCCTAGCCTTTAATTTTTATTCTAGATGGTCATTTACACAGTCCACATGTTGTTGACTTGCTTTATAACAGGTTTAAATGCAAAATGTAATCCAACAGCTAATGAACTGACCTCCAGTAGATAGTAAACAAGAGTCAAAACAGTTTATGAAAATTAATTTTTCACCACACTAAGATGCTTTAGCTGTTTTACAGACGTTAATTGGAGGCTATCATCTGTTTATTTGGCAGCTACTATTGCTGTCCAGGATCGAAATGCTATATCATTTGGAGCCTGAGCTGGTTTTTTTATGGCCTTAGGGTCGTAAAGCCTGCTGTTCGCTTATTTACTTTGAACATCAATGTATATTAAATACACAATCGGTGTCCATATGCATTGCAATATACTTGTTTTGTAGTCACTGCTGCCTAGCGACTATTAATTATTATTTTTGCTGATTCTTCTATTTTTCACATAACCTTAAAGTAAATAGTTGTGTTAAATGTTATGTTAGTGTGCATTTATTTTCGTTTTTATGGTATACTCTGGATCACTGATTTTTACAACAAAAGGTTTAAATTACCTGTGTCCGTCATGTGATCCTAGATTCTAGTTTGAAAACAACAATCCTAGAAAACTAGATACAGGTAGTTTAAACCTTTTGTTGTGCATTTATTGCATATTTTGTAAAGTGTGGTGAAAAATAGCATTTGTACCATGGGCTGAAAGGGTTTTGCAGTGCTTAATCAATTGCAGCTCTACGATACGTTTGCGCTGGCAAAACCTCATTTTTGGCACTAGGTACAAAATATACTAGGGATGGACAAGTCCTGAAATTTAGGGAAATTTTCGGGGAAATAATATTCTCGATTTTCGGGACGGGATTAAATTTGATTTGGGAATTTTTCAGGATGGGATTTGATCCGATCGTCGGCAAATTTGCCGCTTCGCAAGTGACGATGACGCCGCTATCGCGAGAGATGTTCACGGTAGTTCCGCGAATGCAGGAGGCGAAGTCATTTCGACGACCGCGCACTGTGAACGTGCCGTGACCGCAGAGTCTTACCGATCACACCGTGACCGCGAGTCATCTCGATGATCGCCCTGTGACCGCGGAGTCATTTAGACGATCAGGCCGGGATCGCGGAGTCATACCGACGATCGCGTCGTGACCACGGAGTCATACCGTTGATCATTCCGTGACCGCGAGTCATACCGACGATAACGCCGTGACCGAGAGTAATTTCGACGGCAAGTCACAAGTTTCTATACCCGCTGTGACCGCGGAGTCATTTAGACTATCACGCCGTGATCGCGGAGTCAATCGCGCCGTGACCACGGAGTCATACCGTTGATCATTCCGTGACCGCGAGTCATACCGACGATCCCGCCGTGACCGTGGAGTCATACCGACGATCACGCCGTGACCGAGAGTCATTTCGACGGCAAGTCACAAGTTTCTATACCTATACATTTTTAACCTTTTTATGGTTTTGATAGATCAGTGCCACAAATGGTCAAAATTGATTTTCTTTTTTTTCGTAACAGCAATACTCAAGACTTTCTCTTTATGCACAGAAAAAAATCCCCTCCTGTCCCGTCCCGAAAATCGGGAAGAAAATAAAAATCCCGTCCCGTCCCGAACTAAAAATTTGATCCCGTCCAGTCCTAAAATATACAAATAAAAAGGCTATTTTTTATAGATACTAATAACCTAATAAGGTAGGTTAATCACTATTTATGATATAAATCATCTTCAATTAACAAATTTTAAATATTTAAATTAGTAGTTTTATTATTGTAATAATTGTCTGAAAAAATCAATCGTAATATCTTATTTGCATTATATGATTACCTTTTTCGTCATTGTATTTTTTCAGCTACGGAACTAAGTAATCTTTAAAATGTAAAAATGTATTGTATAAAGATTTTGGAAGGTACACGTTGAGGAAGGCGTTGTTGGTATACCTTGGAGACAAGTTTTGAACCCTATTAAAATTTGCAATCTGCACAAGCAATTCTCGTTTGATGTACATCAAAATAATAAATAATTTCAGAAATTCAAAACTATTTACATTTATTAGTTAAAAATACATAATGACGAGATAGTTGAGACAAAACTAATACACAGCTATTTAAAATCAGAGTTGAAGAAAAAAACATTCCTTCCTTTGAATTAATAGCCATTTATTTAAATTAAAGACATGACTGCTAATAGAAAACTATTTCTGATCATCACTACTTGAAGACGACAGACTTGATGTTGATGATGAAGAACTGCTTCTCCTGATAAATTAAATCAAATTAAACAATAAAGTAAAATAATAAAAAAAGACTAACCATACTATTTTTTAAAGGATTTTAGAACATTGATGGGCCATTGATATCAAAGGGTTGCCACTAGAGATGCATTTAAAACTCATTTTTCATTCAGGTGTTTAGCAATATTACTCAAGTGCAGGTACGTGCTTATAGCATTTTCAAGAATATTTATCTTTAACAACCCCCCCCCCCCCTCCCATCCATCAGACCAACAATGCAGTCACTAATCACAAAATCCCACAGGATCGCTACATCACATTAGTGCCAAGATGAATAAAAAACTGCTCTTACATCTCACTAAACGGTAAACAACACATTGGTAGAGCTGCCAGCAATTGCTACAAAATACTCTTAATGCTCCTGGAAATTGCTAGGAGACACTGCTAATTAGTAGGTGATCTCCAATTATTATACAAGACCTATACAAATATAGGACTAATGGAAAAAAACTATCACCTACATGAAGCTTTTAATGGTTAATTTAAATTTATTGGTAAAAAAAATATGTGCTCAGTTATTAATTATCAAGAAATTCATGGTAAGTGGCAACCCTGTTAGCTAAAGAGAGGAAAATTTCTATATAAATTTTGATCAAAGGTCACAAGTAAAACAAAGTGTACTCATATACATAACTGGAGAGTTTCTATCAACAGTTAGTTAATTCATGGGACAAGGGTCAAGAAAAAAAATGCCAAGAGTAAAAACATAAAATATTGAAGAAAATGTGCTCTTGACTACAAAGTGATGAGGGATGGACACAGTTAAGCTACCTGGTTATGCGACGGCGGTCTAGAAAGCTGGGGGAGCCGCGACGTCTAGGGATGGAGGGAGAACGAGAGCGAGATGACCTGGAGCTGTCAGAGTGAGAGAGACTGGGAGACCTGGACCTGCTGCTGCGACCCACAGCAGACCCACTGCGACTCCTGCGACAGCAGCCACAAAACTGTGAGACTTTTCATAACATTAAACAATAAATGGTATAAGCAATCTGACACGCTCTCCCATTTGCTTATCAACAACCTTTATCATGAGTAAGCGATGGGAGTAACTATGGTATTTATAGGGAAAATAAAAAAAGTTGTAATAGCTTTTGAACCGTAATTTTTACGAAGTGACTATTCACACGTTAAAATTACGTCACAACCCGTTGCAGTTCCAGTTCCAGTATTAAAAAATCATGCAAAGGGAACAGTTACTTTTTTCCACAATTCTATCGCTCTCGAACACCATTACTGCAAAGATACGCTAATAAGCCAACGGCCTCAGCGTACCGGGCTGATAGAATCTTACCAGAGGCATTAACTTTTTGTCTAAGATTTAGATTAGAGTGTGACTACATCTTTTGTTAGAATTTGAGGCATTTATAATTTTATTTAATGAAAAGTACTAGCCTATTTTTCGATTAGTAAACCTTCATTCGATTTTTTCATTATCAGCAGGTCTGGTTAGTTTGGTTAGGTTATGACTAGGGATGGTCAAGTCTCGAAATTTCGGGAAATTTTAAATCTCGTTACACGAGACGAGATTTCTTTTTGGCCGAGATTTTTATCGAGACGGGAATAAAAAAAAGAAAATAAAAAAATTAAAAACGCCTGCAGAAAGTCAATGCAATACCCGCAATACAGGAGCGTGTTGTAGTTGCGTTTCCTTTGTGAAGGCGTTCTTATTTAATTAATTCTTTAAATGTAAATATTACTTTAATTATTTTAATAATATTACTTTAATAACATTTGAGAAGTTTTGTTAAGTGTAAGCAGTGTGAGGAATGTTTTGTTACTATAAAAAGTCAAAACAAGTAACTATTTTATAAAAATTAATATTGCTTTTATTTTATGATTTATTTTATTTTAGGATAAGTTGAACTCTATCCTAATTGATATCACTATGTTTCCTAATCGTAGGCATTTTTAATAAGTTAGGCGTGATTATTAAAAAAAGTTATGCTGATGTTTTTTAATAAAAGATAGTAAATATTCTTGCCTATTATCATTATTTTTGTATTTAAACAGTCATCTAACAATGTTACAAAATCAGGTAAAAATTTTGAACGTGCATTTCCCGTTGTGTATGAGAAGGGAAATCCCGTCTCGAAATTTTATGAGAAATAAAAAATCTTGTCTCGTCTCGTCTCGAACTAAAAATCCAATCTCGTCCATCCCTAGTTATGACAGTTTAATTTTATAATAAAGTATGACGTCATGGATCTACGGACCATCAATATGAGGTTTAGAACAGTCTCATTTCATAATCAGTATTTAAGTTGCGGGCAGAAAACGTGAAGTTTATTCCATCCCTTTCGGCTAATGAGGTTTAGAGGTACCACCGTTCCTAATACTAGGTTTTTTTTGTGTGCAACCTGTTACTAAACAGTTATAAAAGTAACTGGATTAGTAACGTAATATGGCGCCATTTGGAACAGACATGCGCAGTGGAACAGACATGCGCAGTAGCGGCGAATAGCCTCTGCCTAATTTTTACAGCAATGGGAGGTTACACGATTTTGTAAAGAATTATTAGGACCATATTAGACAAATATAAATTTAAAAAAAAATTGATTTTTCCGTTTTTTTATGGCTTTTTATGGGAAAATAACATAAGTTACAGTTACTTTTGAACTGTAATTTTTACAAGAATGGGAATTGTACCATTTTGTTCAGAATTTAAAGGACTATAACATACTAAATTTGTACCCAAATCGTTCATGCCATTGTTGGGAAAATTAGATTCTTCTGTTATTTTATGGGTTTTTATGGGAAAATCACCATTAACCTCTTGAATCCCACAGACTCGTATACGCCTCCTTACAGTAGCCCCGCTGAGAACCCACGGGCGCGTATACGTGTCCGCGTGCAGTTTGAATTTGCCGCGCTAACTACGACTACAGGAAGAAGAATAATATGCCGTGTTTGGCACACCATTCTATTCAGGGAAAAACGGTGATTCTCGTGGTAAATTTTTATTTGCGCTAGCTTGATATGCATCACTGCTGCGATGTTTAGAAGTTAGAACTCAGCTGACGTTTTGTTGTGTGTTGTGCAATTACGTATATTGATAGTTAGTTTGAAAACAATGAATAATCGTGTTCTCTTCAAGATAATAAAATTAGTTAATACTTAGATGATGACAGGTTGAGTGATATATCGAGAGTGGATTATTACGACAATTTTGATGACAATATTAGTGTTCAGTGCGTTGATCGTGATGAAGGGTTAGGCCTAACAGTGGATGATGTTGGTATAACCTCAAAACCTGATTCCCTGATAAGTGGTGATTATATTTCACATGATGACACAACAAATATTGATAGTACACTTGAGTCCCGCTAATCCGAACACGGTTAATCCGAACGTCAGCTTAATCCGAACACATTCCCGATATTAATTTTAATAAATTTGCACTATATAAAATACAATGGGAAAGGTAAAACATCTTGAAATGAAGTATAAACAGAGTAATCAATTAAGGAATACAATGGTTTGTTTATTACGTAAAGTTTAAATTTACAAATCGTAATAAAAAACAAATAAAACAAAGAATTATTTTGTAAGAAATATTGCACATACCGTACTGAAAAATTAACTTTGGTTAGGCCTACTTGTTATTGGACATGAAGTCCCGCATTGTCATTTGCTGCAGTTTAGTAAGTCTGTTTTTTGCCGCGTAGTTCCGCCATTTTCTCATGAACATCACGTCTGCAGGCGTGGCAGTAGACTGTTGTTCTAAGTAGCGAAGGGCAAGGTCAAGCGCTGCAGCTGCCTCATTGTGAGTCACTTTCTCCTCTCCTCCCCCGCCCCCTGGCTCGTCATCACTACCCTCCCCCTCGTCTCCCTGAACATGATCTTGCGTCACTGCTGCTACGATGTCATCGTCAGTCAGAGTCTCTGCACTAGTACCGTCTGCCGCCATCCATTCATCCACGTCCTCTTCTTCCGCGTTTTCACAACCGGGAATGTTTCGAATCATTGGTAATAAGTTAACTGGGTCATTTTCGGTAGGGGTTTCTTCAAAATCTAACGATTTCCACAACTTTTTCCACGATTTTCTTATCGCCCCAGTTGTCACATTTTCCCAAGATTCAGCTGCCCAATACACAACATCCTTTACGTTCGTTTGTTTAATTTTTTGAACCAAGGGAATTGTATCATCTTCAATTAGGGACTTTAAAAAGTGTTTGCGATACTTAAGCTTCAGAGCCTGCAAAACCCCCTGGTCCATTGGTTGCAATAATGGCGTCACATTTGGAGGTAAAAAGGCTGCCTTTATTTCGCCACATGTTAGTTCGTCGACATCTGGGTGGGACGGTGCATTATCTAGCAAAAGAATAGCACGTGGGGGAATGTCATTTTCTTGGCTAAACCGTTTAACAGATGGTACGAATTGGTCATGGAACCATTCTTTAAACAGTTTCCCGTCCATCCAGCCTCTCTTCTGGTTCCTGTAATACACTGGAAGTGACTTCATGTTTATATGCTTGAAGGCTCGAGGCTTAGCAGCTTTGCCTATCATCATAAGAGGAAGCTTATGGTTACCAGCAGCATTGGAACAAGCCATAATGGTTACTCGGTCCTTACACATTTTAAAACCAGGAGCACGACTTTCTGATTTAGAGGCCAAGCTTTTAGTTGGCAGTGCTCTAAAATTTAGGCCGGTTTCGTCGGCGTTATATATCTGTTGGGGGGAATAATTTCCTTCGCTTATTAAATTGTCAAATGAAGCAAGGTATTCCTGCGCTGCAGCCTGATCTGAGGAAAGTTGTTCACCGGTGACAGTTAGCTGCCGAATACCATGACGTTTTTTCCACCGGTCAAACCAACCGGTGCTGGCTGTGAAGGAACTGTCGCCATTTAACAGATTGTTCAACAGAATTGCCTTTTCTTGAACGATAGGTCCACTTAAAGGGGTTCCCCTTTCCCTTTCTTGCGAGAACCACAGAAAAAGCGCTTCGTCAACTTTATCATACTGCGACTGTCGCGCCGTTTGCCGATTTTCAAGGGTTACCTCTGAAGACGTTGTGCAATATTGTTGAAGTTTCGCGCGGTTTTTTTTCCAGTCGCAAATTGTAGCTTTGCCAACGTTCAGCTCTTTCGCTAGTTTAGTCACACTTTCACCATTATCCAAACGTTTTAAAGTTTCCAGCTTATCTTTAAGAGTCAAAGTGTTATGTTTACGTTTGTTAGACATTGCACTTATCACACTAAAAACCCGTACACACGCAAATCCACAGGTGACTGACCGCACTACGTAAACAAAAGCAGACTAGATCAAGGTGTTGTTGTGTTGCGATTCTGACAATTAAGCTAGGTGTATTGGTGAGGGGAGGGGGGCAGAACGGGGCAGACGTGTAGGCTACTGTGTACAGTCTCGGTAAGCAGTGCGTGCAGACGTACAGTCCGCACGCATTATCGTCACATCATACACGTCTGCCCACCCGTTCATATCGCTCTACGCTAGTTGATTGTTGACACGCTAGATATTGCACAACTGATGCGCTTATTTAAGTTTAACTGTTGTTTTTTTAATTTTGTTGTAGTAAATGGACTATTAAAATTGGTTTTTGTGTATTGCTCGTTCATATTACGACACTACGACCCCTTAAAATTGCTTCCATTTTGATTATTTACGTTATTTCGGCTAATCCGAACAATCAGCTAATCCGAACGGGGTTCGGTCCCAATTAGTTCGGATTAGCCGGACTGCACTGTACATGTATTATATGTTTCTATGTAGGGAAATAAATTCTCTACAAAATGTATATAATAAGTAAAAGTTTTATTTGAATAAAATTTATCTTGTCATTTTATTGTACTTCATTCTGTATGTACGGCCTGTGAATTAAGTTGAATTGTTAATACACATTCTTTTTCAAACACCATATTTTATTTCCTGCAGTTTGACCATAGAATATCTATTTTAAGAGTGACATGTTTTTAAGAGTAACGGCTTAACCGATCATATTGTTATATCATAACTTTGATCAACTTTGCATTTTCTTTAATTATTCAAACATTAACAAAAGGTGAAATATAAATATCTTAGTAAAATCTGGTACTATTAAACAAAGTTATCAATCAATCATTCAATAATCAGTTATTATCATTTTTCAAGTTCAGAGTGTCACATCACTAGCAAATTTTAAGAAGGTTTATCATATAAGAAGTGGTAGAATTAAGTTCAAGAAGGTGATTGAAGGAAGACAACATCAGATCTCTCACGATCCCACATACGGACTTCTGAGGTATTTTTATTATACTGGCCTACACACCTAACATCAAAACTTCCACTGTGCAGGCTCTGTGTGATAAATGTCTTCATAACTTCAATTTAAATTAAATTAAATTAATTTAAACCCCACCTGGGGGCAACTTTTTGTGTTTTCACACCTTTATGGAATATTAAATTATATTCTATATAGGGGTGAAGTAACTTGAATTTGCGGAGATTTAGCCTATCAGATCAGATTAATTATTATTTATATTTTTTTCTCCTTTACAAGTAGTAGGTAGTGTCTTTTTATGTATGAGAGGAAGGCACACCAAACCGTCTTGAAGGGTTAATATCACACAGCAAAACTATAAAACAAATTAATATGCCTATAAATTAATTATATAAATCCGATTATTATGATTAATCTAATAACGGTTCTGGGTTTTCCATACTGTGTTTTCTATCAGGAAAAATTTTCCTTCACTTTTTGATTGTTAATTGGAAGGTTTGTTTAAGTAGTATTATTTGTGTAGGGATCTGTATTTTTTACCTGCTAGGAGACTTGTGGATGCTGGCAGACTTGGAGCGTGACCTTGACCTTGACCTTGACTTGCGACCATCACTACTGCTGCTGCTGCTACGTGATGATGAGGAAGAACTCTTCACACTCTTGGGTGAGGAACTGACAACACACATTTAAGTGGTTAGCTATAAAATACAATTCATCTTTATTCATGAAAGTATTTTCACAGGAAATACATCAATTGTTGTCACAGATAGGAAAAGAAAAAAAATAGGTAGGCTATATAAGTTACCTGAATAAATTATTACAAACTAAATTATAACATAAGGCATTTCTAATTTTTACATTTCCAAACCTCTTCTATTGATTATAGTGATTTGGATTGAAAATAGTTTTTTTAGTAGTTCCTTAACCCATTCCCTCCTAAAGACAGGCGGCGCCCGTCCTAGCGCGCCAGGCTACGAAAGACTAAAGACGCCCGTCCTTACGCATAATGCATTATTATATCTCGTTCTCATCACTAAAAACGATCAATAACCATCCGCTATGTTTTATTCATTATTATACTTTGTTTTTATACTCAATGCGTTGTCTGCTGGTAGCCTGTATTTTTTTGTTGTTGTTGTTATTGATTCGTTGTCATGACGTTGTATCCTAACCGTAGTTGTGCAACAGCAGTTCGTTTCGTTGTTGCTACGGCGTTTCGTCGCGATTATTTATTCTTACAAAGTGATTGTTTTGCTCAGTTTGTTGATGATATTTTAGCGGAAAGTGGTTGTGAAGTGAGTGGTGATGAAGAGGACGAACGAATTATCAGTGATGAAGATGTAAGCGAATTTATCATTGTCTGTACCTCTACATAGCGAATTTAACCTCTGCTTAACAAATTGTCTACGTCTTTCTCTCGATATAACAAACCCACCACCCCATTATTGTTTATGGAAATCTAGTTCTTTATCAAATGAAAGGAAAGGTGACGTCATCGCTTGCGCTAAAATTTGTCTGCTCCGTTTTACACATCTTTCTCTGCTGCTGCTGCTGTCGCTGCACGTCATATGACATACTGAGGACTGATGACGACGTAATGTTTAGAAAGCTGTGATTGGGCGATAAGTGCCTAACTATGGTGGCTTATATTTTTGGATAAAGAGACGCCTAAGAAAGAATATAAATCCAAAATCAAAGAGAAAGATTAATTTAAGATTATAACAATCATTACCAATCATTTTTGTAATGGTCTTTGGCCGTTGGAATGGAAATAAAATAAAATAAAAGAATAGCAACATCGTTGTCTTAACATTCCTTTTATGAGTGTTTTTATTATCTTTAAGTTGGCTATGATTATACACTTTATCTAATGACTTTATTTAATAATTTTACTTTATTTAATGACTTTATCTAATAATTTATTGTTTTCAATATGATTTGGTTCTACTTTACAATGTTAACACTTTAAAAGTATTGTAGCCTATGCTACTTTAATTGTGTTTTAATGAGGTCAAATCCTGACCTATATTGACCAAAGCTGGATCTGAACCTCGACTTAGCGAAATTCCTACAAACCTAACCTCAATATAACAAACCTCGTTTTAACGAAATCCTTGATATAGGTAACGAATATTCAGTTCGGTCCCTTCAGATTCGTTATACCGAGGTTGGACTGTAGTATCATTGTAATCGGCAAACTACAAGCTATTTGAATTTATTAGAGCAGAGTAAATAGTTTTGACAGTCAATGCTTGGGACACTTGACATTCGTAGCAAAGCATAAAGACCTGCTGAAGAATTTTCACCACATGAGGTCAATTTTATTATAAACTTACTTCCTTGTTTAATATTTTTACCCACTAAAAATTAAACTTTACTTCTTAACTTTAAATTAGTTTTTGAATATGCATAATTTACTTATTATTTGTAATTATCTAAATCCATATATAAAGCCCAAAGTACCCATGAACTTTTCACACCCCCATAAACCATACAGAAAATGTTCGTCATGACGAGGAATCTTGCGCAAAAAATCATGCTTTTGTCACGGGCGTGAATGATGACGAAAGATTACGTTTTCATGACCACGGAAGACAATTATGTTGACTACATGGTCACAGGATATAATAGTTACGCCGAAACCATGGAAGACAATGATTATGTCAGTATGACTGCGAGAGAAGTTCATTATTTTGCCGTGATATTGGAAGATGATGATGATATCTACACTACCACCATGCTACCCCATGTAATCAAAAGCTACTGTATGACAGTTTGAGCAACAGATCAATCAGTGGCATATATGGAAGAGGGTTTTATATATACTGTTATATATTCAAGAAGAGTTATTTATGTTATATTATATAGAGGCAAGTTGACCTCATCAAATAGTTTAAATGTTAACTTATCGGGCCTGGTGAAGGAACCAAACCAGGATGAGTCATTCGGTCAAAGTCCAAGAGGCTGACTAGCCGATCGAGAAGGCACAGTGACGGAACGCCATTCGACGTTATGAACCCGGTGAGTAAAGTCAACTCGTACGCTTACAGTGTTAGTAGCCTAGTCTGCCAGTGTCCTGTACTTGTCCGGTTCTGTTCATTTCCAACGTCCGAGTCATAAAAGTGGCGACGAGGATAAAACTAAAGTTTATTTTACTGTGTGCGGTTAAAACAAGAGTTTTAACGAGTACGTTTTGTAAATATTATTACTATTTTTTCTCGCGATTTTCGGAATATTTGTCATTTTTAGCAGTGTCCTGCAAGTTTGAGTTGGTCAAGTTGAACCTGAAAAACTTTGTCGTACTTTGCAAAGAGAGTAAAAAGTTGGTTTTTGGGTAAATTGGTGGAAGATTTGTATATATTTTGTATTGGAGGAGTTTACGAAGAGTATTTTGTGGAAAAATTCCTGGAATTATGGACGGTGGATGCTGATTGCTCTCTACTGGCAAGTTGGTACCACGTGTTGCACATTGTGCAAGGGATTGTATTTACACTTGTGGCTTCATTTTACCGTAAGTTTGGACTTATTTACTGTAGGCCTATGGAAATAAGGTACAATGGGAACAAAACAAGTATTAGGAAAAATTCAAGAATTCAATGGTGAGTTAGAAACCTTCGAAAACTATGTTGAGAGGTTGGACCAATTTTTTAAAATTAATACGATTAAGAATGAGGACAAGGTCTCTTATTTTATCTCTCTCATGGGCCCTGAATTGTATTCAACCCTTAAAAACATTCTGATGCCAAAAAAACCTATTGAGGTTACTTATGACGTAATAGTAGCACAGCTTACAGCCCATTTTGTACCTAAGAAGAATATCTCTTATGAGAGGTTTGTTTTTAATAAAAGGAGTCAAAGAGAGGGGGAGACTGTCTCAGATTTTGCTATTCAATTAAAAAAATTAGCGGCTTCTTGCAAATTTGAAAAATTCTTGGATGATGCCCTTAAAGATAGATTTTTGTGTGGACTCAAATCAAATGATATCCAAAGTAGGTTGTTGTCTGAGGGAGACACTTTAACTTTTGAAAAGGCTTTGGAGTTGGCCTTGGTCCTAGAGGCTAGTAGAAATTAGGGATGGTCAAGTCTCGAAATTTCGGGAAATTTTAAATCTCGTTACACGAGACAAGATTTCTTTTTGGCCGAGATTTTTATCGAGACGAGAATAAAAAAAAAAAAAATAAAAAAAAAAAAATAAAAACGCCTGCAGAAAGTCAATGCAATACCCGCAATACAGGAGCGTGTTGTAGTTGCGTTTCCTTTGCGAAGGCGTTCTTATTTAATTAATTCTATAAATGTAAATATTACTCTAATTATTTTAATAATATTACTTTAATAACATTTGAGAAGTTTTGTTAAGTGTAAGCAGTGTGAGGAATGTTTTATTACTATAAAAAGTCAAAACAAGTAACTATTTTATAAAAATTAATATTGCTTTTATTTTATGATTTATTTTATTTTAGGATAAGTTGAACTCTATCTTAACTGATATCACTATGTTTCCTAATCGTAGGCATTTTTAATAAGTTATGCGTGATTAATAAAAAAATGTTATGCTGATGTTTTTTAATAAAAGATTGTAAATATTCTTGCCTATTATCATTATTTTTGTATTTAAACAGTCATCTAACAATGTTACAAAATCAGGTAAAAATTTTGAACGTGCATTTCCCGTTGTGTATGAGAAGGGAAATCCCGTCTCAAAATTTTATGAGAAATAAAAAATCTCGTCTCGTCTCGTCTCGAACTAAAAATTCAATCTCGTCCATCCCTAGTAGAAATGTTAAGAGTTTTCATCCTGGAGTGTACCAGAACGACAATCAAATATCTGAGGTTAATTACGTTAAGTATAGGCCTAAACAAAGATTTGGCCCTAGACCTAGTAGTAGCGAAAGTTTGGGTAGGCCAAGTAATAGTGAGAATTTTGGTAGGCCAAGTTGGCCTAATTCAAGGCAAGGTTTACACCAGTTGTGTACTTGTTGTGGTAGGAACCATGAGAGTAAAAATTGTATGTACAGGACTTACAGTTGTAATATTTGCCATAGGAGGGGTCATTTGGCAAAAGTTTGTCGGCAGGCCGCCAGTAGGCCTAGTACTAGAATTAACTATTGTGATGATGGCGATGAAGTTGTAAATCCTCAACCAGGTGCGGAGCATGATAGTGGTGAAGAAGAGCTTGGGCTGTACACCATAGCCTATTCTGACTCTAAGAATAAATCTGGCGCAATTACAGCTGATGTAATGGTAAATGACGTATGTGTTAAAATGGCTATTGATTTGGGGGCAGTAGTATCAGTGATGCCTGAGGATGTTTTCCTCCGGCTTTACCAGGGGCGAGTGCCTAAGCTAAGGGAGAGTAAAATGAGATTGAAGACTTATACTGGTCAATGTATTGAAGTTTTGGGAGAGTTTCAGGCAAATGTTTCGGCTGGAGATGAGTCGCATGTTCTGCCGCTGGTGGTTGTACGGAATGAGCAACCAAATCAACCTTCGCTTTTGGGACGAAACTGGTTGGCGAGACTTAAGTTAAACTGGAGGAAGATCATGAGGAACTGGCAACCAAAGAGTGGGACTGTCATGCAGCTTGAAGGTAGGAATGTTCCATATACATCTACTTCTAGTGTTGAGGATTTAAAATCAAGATTTCCTACTGTTTTTGAGCCTGGTATAGGAAC